TTGAACAGACCAGCACTTTTGCTGGCGCAAAATATTCGCTCACCGGGTATCGTATGCCATTGATATTAACGTGTTTTCGTTTGAGTAGGTCATCCATAGTTTTAACACTTTTAACATCTAATCGTGCTATAGTTGTTGGTAGATTATTTTTATTAATAAAACGATGGAGATTGATAATGTCAGGAAAATCTTTTTGCAGATCATTTAACAATTCATTATCCTGAATGTCCAACGTTACGTTACGGATAACTAACGAAAACTGAGGTGGAAGCCGACGGGGCAGCGATTTCTCATAACACTTCGAGCATAAATTAGGCGGCCAATTTTTTTCATCAAACAGAATGATGAATGAATCTCGATCCTTAGCAAATAGAAATAATTGACGATTATCTTTTAATCTGTATCCGTCCAATGCGAAATCTAATCTCAAATTGTCCACAATATGTTTTTTTAATTCATTGATCACTTCCTTTTCCTGCACCTTATCCTGGAATGTAACGACAAATGGAGGAAATTTATAGCGAGTTTCGGCAAAGCGAAGGGCTTGCTGAGAGATCAGATCGATGTTTGGACCATTGTTATCTGTGTTTCGTGTATAGGGATGTTGATCTATTGATAAAGAGGTTCGACGTTGGAAGCGTGGACTAGGTAATTGACGATTAGCGGTAGGACGATGTATATTTGAAGGAGGTGAATCATTAATTTGGCGTACCTCATCATTGCTGGCACTTACATTGTTTGAGTGGTGCTCAACTACCATTTTAATTTCTTCATCAATTGTTTGATATTGTCGTGACAAGAGAGAAGTTGGGAAAGCACGCTGATAATATTTAAATGATGATGACGAAGGAGCAGCACGAGATGGATCATGCTGGAACAAAACCGATGATTCACTTTGTTTATTCGTCGTCACACCGCATTGTTGCTGTCGCTGTAATTATTGGTTTGTATCAGAAATAAATACCCCTGAAGTAATTCCATTAGAAATATATGGAGACGGTGTTTGACCAGGACGAATGGGATATTGTACAGGTACTTGATGTTGTAGACGAAAATTTTCTTGCAAGGGAGTAGAATGAGGAAAAAATTGACCCGTTCCCATGTCAAAGGCACCATATAGTAAGCTGTTAGCATTCTGGACCACTGAAGCTGTTGTACAGCCATGCGGGGTGGCCATCCCCGACCTTAGTGTTACTTATATTCACCACAAATTCAAACACGTGCTCAAAAATTGTATAAAGTAAAGAAGAGGAAGAAACTTACTACTACAACTATATGTAGATAAGTACAGAATACATACGAGAAAAAACATACGTCTGCTCTGTACTATATGAAAACGTCGAAAGATTATGAGTTTCTTGTCTTTCTTTCCTTATAGGCATCTAGCAAAATTGGAGATATCTCTTCTAGCACAAGATATGCGTATGCAAACATTGCGATATATGTGACGTAAAAGAACGAGGCAGAAAAAAGAAGTTTAAAAAAGTGTTGAAAGAATAAAATGGTGAATGAAAACAGCGCTACACTGACTTTTCCTCTTTCTTCACACGGCAAACGAGAAAAAGAGAATATCTACCGTTGATAGATATCTTGAAGATGTACGTTGTGCATTTGCGGAAAGAGATATCTCCAATTTTGCTAGATGCCTCTTCTCTCATATAAATTCTTTTTAAATATCCATTGTTCTTGCTGCTAAGGTACAGTGACGTCATAATTTCTCTCTTCTCCGATCTTTTGTTTTTCGAGAATATTCTCATTCTCTATTGGGTATATATACATACACCCGTTCTCATCGAAGAATTTACGTTGCTCTTGAATTTGGAAAGCATATCATTTCTCTTTCGAACTTGTACTATTTATTTCTTTATACCATTTTTACAATTAAAACCCAAGAAATAGAATTCTATGGAAATAATGAAGTCGACGACGAGTCCTGTGATTCATATGCCAGTGATGACACCAGCGTGAGTGACTTCGATTTCGATTATGATGACCCAGTCGATAACTTAGATGAGCTTGAAGTTTCTGATGAAGATTCGGATATGTATACAGAGGAGCTGAATTCAATCAATGAAAGTCATATCACGGCGGCTTTACCTCCCTCTCCCTCAAAGAGCTAACTCCAGTTGCAGTCTTTAGAACCTTTTTTACTAAAGAAATTTTAAATTTGATTACTGAATGCAGATCTTGAAAAATCTTTAAAGATTTCTCAAGTTCGCCCCAGATCTTTCAAGAACTTGTGCAGATTTATCGAAATATGTCAAGATTCTGAATGGAAGGCAATGCTGCAGATTTTCCACAAGTTTTGTATCAGAATCTGTCGTGATAAATCTTCAACAGATCTTGTCAAGATATTTCAGGAATTCTGAAATGATTAATTTAATACGCAATAATCAGAATCTTCATTAACATATTTGGGAATCTGAAATAAAATCTTAAACTTTAGTTTCTACTTTATATTTTCATTTTTTTCTACTATATCACTACAGTGCAAGCTCTACTGTACTATGCATACAGTACCAGAGCTGTTGAAAGTGCACGAGCAACCATACTTTCAAACATAATGTTTGAATTTCACTTTCAAAATTTTCAATGTTCTGTACTGCAAGTATTTATTCTTATATATGCAAGACCGATGTCAAACAAAATGGTGATTGAAAGAATAACACAATTATTTGTCTACCCTATCAACAAACAGAATTTTAATAGAAGTCCTCTACACTGTAGCGCTATAATAACTATAAATAAATGCAAAGTTGACATATTTACATTTTTGTTGAATCTCTGAGTCATGTCGTAATCAAAATGATTGCTAACTTTCCGTGTTAGCAAAGATTGTGTTAATTACAGAAAAGTTTTCAAAGCTTGTCAAGATCTTGATCAAGCTTTTTGCTGGCAGATTCCTCAAAAAAACTTGACAAGATCTTGATAAGAATTGTTGAACATTCTTTGAGGTCAAGAAATTTGACAGATCTTGTGCAGATATAAACTTTCTGCAGGACATGGGGTAACGCCTTTACTGTAAGATTCGCGAAATAAGACGCAATTTTCAGCAATTTTTCGCGCTCATACAAAAATCAATGACTCTCAAATATTTTGCTATAGTTACTATTTATTCGCGTTTTCCGTCTAATATCAGTAAATAATCCACGCTACTTTTACCGCGAAGTCAGACGAATAGCTACGCAAGACTATATTAGTCATGTCGTAACCTATTATTAAGATGTGAGAAGACTTTGAACATTTTTCGAAAAATCAGTAAGAGTTATATACCAGGCACGTAAGCAAAACAAAACGGTGAATAGGATTTGCACGAGAGACGCGTCGCGACGCTGTATCATATCGCGGTTGTAAGAGAAAAATACGATCGGGACGTAACAACTTTTTCCTACAGTGATTGCGCTCGGATCGCGAAGTCGCGGCGCGATCGCTAAGAAGTCGCTATTGTCGCG